ACTACCCATGAACCTCCAAGTATCACTACACTGTCCATGATATCCCAGTGAAAACCCAGAGCTGCATTACCACCAGCTACGGAGCCAAGGGCAGCAGGCAACCATTCAGATTGCAAGCACAAGCACAACTCCGCGAAAGGCAAACGCAACCAAACCATGCTCTGAGACAAGAACACGTTCACATAAGGATCTTGCAAGTAAGGCTTTCTGGAACTCCCCTTATAATTAGGGACCCTTTTCAAGCCCAAACAGAGGATCAAAACGAGGAAAAATAACTGCACCAGACCTCCTCTGCAGCTTCGCCCTCCTCCGCAACAGCAGGACACTCCGGTTTAAGAGCCTAGAGTTCGAAAGGGCTTTGCAGGATTTCAAGCGATTGGAGAGGAGGGTATTGAAGGTCGCTGCAAAGGTTCTTTGGATCTTCACAGTCTGATGATGTGTGGTGCGTTCTTTGGCTCAAAAGCTTCTCGTCTCTTTTTTTGGTCAAGGAGATGACGGTGATGGCGTGATGACAGTCAGTGCCACAAGGAACGCTACGCGTTGCTACCACTGTTCCGACGACCGTCACTGATATCTTGCTCGACCTCGTGACATGTTATTTGTCAGTGAAGGTGCTATCAGCCGTTTACTGGTAGTACTGCTCCTCGTGCCTTCGTGGTTGTATACTTACGGTGTTACCAACGTGCAGGACACTGGTCACAACCATATTGTAGCACCGCGACCATTGAGACCATGTTTGGTATCTAGGATCTTTGTGCCTTCAGCACCATTGCGGCCAAAGGATCCTTGAGAACAGTGCGCTGAGACGATGCTGCTGTCTCATCCTGATTCGATTTTTTCTCCCCCTTAACTCTTAACTGCTGTGTCTTTAGCTGCCGCGTGCATCACTGAATTGGTCAAAAACCGCACTCCTTATGCGCGTCGGTCTTGATCCGGCCGACGCGCATAAGGAGTGCGGTTCTTGACCAACTCAGTGACCGGCACTGGTTTCACGCCAAGACTGTGTGATGATGTATCACCACCCCACCGGCCTGGTGAAACCAGGCCGGTCAGGTGGTGATACATCATCACACAGTCTTGGCTGCTCTCGGCTTCTGCTATTTCTGCTTCTGGCGTCAGAAACTCGATTCGGAGGGTGCTCGTACTGCCACGACAAGACGTCGTCTTGTCGTGGCAGTACAGCACCGCCCGAAGCTGGCGTTCTGCTGCTGGAAGAGTCGCGGGAACTGATACAGAGAAACGTAGTCTAGCAAAAGCCACTCCTTTCCCGTAAGGGCCTTGGCTAGCTTGGCAACCTGGTATCCTTACGGATCACAGTGTTCCCGCGACTCCCAGCAATGGGACCGCGAGACTACCTGGGTGGCTTTAGGCGCCCTGCCATCGGCCCAGGCTTGGACCTCCCGACATTCACAACCGGCAATTCTTGCGGGGACAGTCAGAAGGACTTATGGGGCCACCTCCCATGTCGTGGGCGTAACAGTGGGTGAGGTTGGAGACTCATGCGAAAACAACGCCTCCTGGTGCGTCACAAGTGCCGTGCCGGCGTCCACATAGGCGGACTCCGCTTCCTGGCGGCGTGGGGACCGCTGTCCTTCCCGCTGCAGCTTCAGAGGGAAGTCGGCTCGGACCCGGAGCCGCCAAGATCTGATCCGCTCCATAGGCGCCACTACAAACAAGACTATGACCATCCCGGCATTGAATAACAGGAACGATCGGATGGCTGCAGACCTTTGCGAAGCTCAACCCCGCAGCTGCGGACAAGCCGGACGTCGGCGTCTTTGAGGAAGTCCGCCAGCCCCTGCTTCTGAGCCAGGTGGTAGCGCTTGGACTGGCGCAGGATTTGTTCGACATTGTCGCGGAGCACGCACGGAAACGCTCCGCCTCTAGGGTTTTAGCGTTTAGGGTTTGTAGGGTGCAGGATTTAGGCTCCAGGGGTCTAGGATTTAGGGTTTAGGGCTTAGGGCCTTCGATGAGTGAGGCAAGACTCTTGTAAATAATGCGTGGCTGTGTCGGATGCGTCATGAGGTGTAACGATTCGACGTCAACATGTCAGTCTTGAGCGTGGGGCACTTTGAGCCGAAGCGGCGGAGCAAAACCCTTTCGTAACCTTCGCTGACTATAAGGAGCCACACATGTCTGCCTCAGCCCCTCCCAGTTGGTTTGGAAAGGGCGGTGCCATGCTGCCGATGCCAACCAAGAGATGCACTATGACTATCAACGATCCGACGACTCAGCTGCACATTGCTTCGCCTTGGAAAAACAAACAAACCCTCAAACCCAAACCCTAAACCCTAAACCCTCTAAAACCCCAAATCCTACATTCCTGAACCCCAGAGGCTCTAAAAGCCAAAAGCCCTAAATGGGGGTTTCCGAAAATAGGGGACCCTAATATAGTACCCCAAATAGTAGGATCCTTATGATAAGGACCCCTCAATAAGGTACCCTAATTTTCGGAAACTCCCTAAATTGATTCAAGGCTTCTGGAGACTGCCGGGCCTCCTCCGGGATCTCTGACCAGTCCAGGGTCTCTCCGTCCTCGAAATGCGCTGCATCACCGGAAGTCCCACTAGGACTGCTTTTTAGGGCCGTTTAGGGTTTAGGGTCTAGGGCCGTTTAGGGCTTTGGGGTTGGAGGCTGCGTCACCGCAAGGAGGAGTTGGGTTTGGCAAATTTGTGCCGGGGAGTCTGCGGGCTGTTTTCAGACTGCTAAGGCAGGCGGGCCTGTCGCCCAGATCTGCATCCTTTCCTGATATGCTCTGGTGGTTCACCTACAGCCAAGTAGCTTCGCTGGGAGAAGAAAGCTTCATTTCGCCGTTGACTTTGAATGTACTTCTGATGAACGAAGGTTCGGTGATGACACGCACTGGACGGAAGATCTTACAATTTGAAGGTCACCGAGCCCTGCGCGGGCTCGCAACGATGACAACTGAAAAAACTGCGAGTTTAAGCCACTGATGCCATCAACCATCAGGGCTGATCCTGTGTTGGCATGGACTCACAATTCGACCGTTGCGTAAAGCTCTAGACCGACTCTCGTTCTTTTCGTGCACTATCTCGGCGCGCTGCCCTGATTGCTTGAATTCTAGGTAGTTCTCAAACATTCGTGGCTCGAATCACACCTCTATTTTGGAAACCGTGGACCTCAGAAATTCCTGATGATCTCGCAGACAGCGCCCTGGGGATCGCCTACGTTGCTCTGACAGACGGTATGCTGGCTACATTGCAAAAGCATGTCAACACCTATATACATCGATCATAGAGTCCTAGCACCCGGAACTCTAAGCCCTGAACACGCTAAACCCCTGAACCCTGGACCCGCAAACCCCAAACTCCTAAACCCTAAACCACTATGAACCCCAAACCCCTAACTCCAAACTCCTAAACCCTAAACTCCGAAGCCTAAACCTGTTTCCCCAAACCCTAAACTCCGAACCCTAAACCCCAAACTCCAAACCCGATTCCCTAAACCCTAAACTCCCAACCCTAAACCCTAAACCCCAAACTCCTAAACCCCAAACCCCTAAATTTACCCCAAACCCTAAACTCCAAACCCTAAACCCCAAACCCTAAACTTCCAAAACCCCAAACTCCTAAACTTCCAAAACCCTAAACCCCCAACCCTAAAGCGTGGGCAAAGGCAGCCCTTGTTCCTCGGCCACCTCCCACTCGCCATCCTGCAGCTCGGACTCCTGCGCCCAAGGGCACAAACTGTCCGAACCCAACAAGGGGTCTCTCCCGAAACCTGAAACCCGGTTTAGGGTTGTTTCGGGTTTCGGGTTTAGGGGTTTAGGGCTTTAGGGGTTAGGGTTTACGGGTTTAGGGGTTTAGGGTTTAGGGGTGTAGAGTTTACGGAAGTAGGCACTGTAGTAAGTTTTGTTGAGGGTTTAGGGTTCTAGCATAGCATCGCGGAGCACAGTGCTGCGCAGCATACCACAATAGGGTATAGTCGAGTTTAGTTTGGCTCCAGATTAATTAGGCCAGTCACACAGTCAAGTATAATTTAGGGGCATATAGTAATGCTATAGGCCCCTCACGGGAAGGATCCTTGCTGCAAAGACCCGCAGCCCGAAGCCCCTGGCTCATCGAAGAGCACCACACTTGCTCCTCACCGGTCTTTTGCCGCTTCGCCTTCTTCCCCGCCTGCTAACTCAAAGACACCGAGTCTGGTTTCTCAGGCTTTTGTCTGGCCCATTTCCTCTACTAGTAGCTGCTTCCTTGATGGACTTTGACGTTTAGGTGCTGATTGTAGCAAAAACCATGTGCGTGAAGCAACAGTGCCATCATCAGTCATGAAGATGATCATCCTCTTCGTCATCACCAGCAGCATCAAAGTCATCGTAGCAAGATCACCACTTTGCTTCGGCAAACTCGGTAAGATATGTGATGTTCATGCACATCTATATACCCATATACATATGTATATATATATATACACAGACAGACAGACAGACAGACAGACAGACAGACAGACAGACAGACAGACAGACAGACAGACAGACAGACAGACAAACAGACGGACAGACACTACGTGCATTGCACTGATGCCTTCAGCTTAAAACTACAGGAGCCGCTGGCCGGCTTGTGGATTCTGGTGGCACCACTGGGATCCCTTCCTGAGATTCCGACGCCCTTGCCTTTGTTGCGTCTCTTGGCGAACTTCTTCTGATGCATGTGAGCCTCGGCGCACTGGTCGTGTTGGGCGCGTGTGACGATCTGTTAGGCCAAAAGTGCCAAAGGGCAAATTTCTGGCACGCGAGTCTGAGCCACTTAAGCGGATGCTCGATGACGGACGCCTGAACTCAAAGCTCTTGCGCACAATGGCTCCGTGCGAAGACAGGGAGAAAGGCTGAAGGTTGAGAAATCAATGCCTCCTGTTTGAGGGTTTCGAGCACCTTCAGCTGCGTCTTCTCATCGACCTTGGCCGCTGCAGGATGACGGTACATGTCCTGTTGCCGTCTTTCCATGCTTTTAGGGAGGACTGCGTGTGTGACCGAAGAAACTGTCGTCGTGAAGGTGCCGACGCAAATCTTTATGTTTTCTCGTTTGCAAGCTGCTATTTCATCATAATGCTGACAGTGTTGGCATGTTTAATACTGAGAGGAACCATTAGGAACCCCAACAGCACCTGCGCTGCCTGGGAAAGGCCTCTTGTTGGGCATCTGGCCGACCTCCACTACCAGTAGTGTACCAAGTTTAGGCTGCGCACGTGCAAGATTGAATAGATACTGTAAGCTGTATTCAGACACCGGCTAGGAACTTGATCCGAGGCCCATGAGAGCCATCATATCACCACTAGCACAAGCTGTGAGGCATCAACAGCTTCAGCAATAGCTTTATAACTCAACAGCTATAGTCACCATTGCATCCTACTTGAAGAGGTACCCCCATCATGCTCAAGAAGGATGTCCCGAGGGCCATGCAAGGTCCAAGTGACTCTTGGCCTCTTCGTAGCTGAAACTTGCAGCTAGCCCTGCGTCAAGTCACGAGACTATGCAAGGACTGTTCCACCTGCGCAAAGCAGTTAATATCTCTGGCAAGTGGCCTCCATGCTTGTTGACGAAGGCTACCGTTCTTGCTACTTTCTCTTCGGAGGCTGTCAGCCTTGGCACTGATTGCAAAGCACTGCTCCTGCAGGCGAAAGAAAAAGCTAATCCAAATCTGCTCCGGAACAGCTAGGGCGGGCGCTTCCCTTTTCGCCCTTTGCTTCCGGCTTTGCCATTAGCGCCCTTGCTCTTACCGGCGCCATGGCCTTTGCCGTTTTTTCCAGTACCATTGCTGGTGCTGTGGCCTTTGCCATTCCAAGACGAAGACTGGTACTGGTTGGTAGACTTACTACCAGTACCATTCTTCGTCTTGGCCTTCCCCTTTCCCTTCGCCTTCCCTTTGCCTGGACGGCATGCACTGACCAGACATAACGGCGAGATCACCCCTGCAGCCAGGCCCTTGCCTTTTCTCTTTTCTTGCATCTTTCTAGCTTCGCGCCGAATAAATCCCCTTGGCAGGCATGGACTGAACGAGCACTGCAGAAGTTGATGTAAGAACAACAAAACACACGCACCACTGGTAGTAACTACCAGGAACGAGGCATACTTAGTGGCACAATGATCATCACTGCCGTGCTACTGTTGAGAAACCGCCAACACTGTAAGCAATGCGCCTACAACAATAAGGGCTCCATGGCTTGTACCGCCACAACACCAGGATCTATCTACTGCCAGAGCCGCAGCTACGATAGTGACCTCGACCACTACGACTACGAGTACCACGACGACAACAATGACAGCGACAGCAATAACCACGATGACAAAACGATATCAGCAGCAACAGCCATTGCAAAAGCATTTGCCTCGGTAGCAGCAGCAGCAACGGGAACAGCAACAACCGTCACCGCAGCAGCAGCAGCAGCAGCACCAGCAGCAGCAGCAGCAGCAGCACCAGCAGCAGCAGCAGCAGCAGCAGCAGCACCACCACCACCGGCAGCAGCACCAGCAGCAGAACCAACACCAGCACCACCACCACCACCACCAACAACAACAACAACACCTCCAACCACCAACAACCCACACACAGGAAACCACATGCAACCAAACCGGGAAACGACAGCAAGCCAGCAACGAGCAGCAACCCAACCGAAACCCGACAAGCCAGACCACCAACAAACCAACAGCAGACCAACAGCAAACCAACCACAACAAAAACAAAAAACGTAAACGAACCATAAACAAAAACGCCGCCGACGACGACGACCAGGGCAAAGAGCAAGAAGAAGCAACAAGAAGAATAACAAGCACAAGAAGAAAGAGAAGAATAACAACGACAACAACCACCACAACAACCGTAAAAACAACACCAACAACCTCAAAAACAAGCAAACCACAATCACAACAACCACAACCACAACCACAACAACAACAACAACCACGACAACAACCACAACAACAACGACAACAACAAGCACAAGCACAAGAAGAACCACGACCACAACCACACTAACCACAACCACAACAACCACAACCCCAACAAAAACAGCAGCAGCAGCAGCAGCAGCAGCAGCAGCAGCAGCAGCAGCAGCAGCAGCAGCAGCAGCAGCAACAACAAACAACAAACAACAAACAACAAACAACAAACAACAAACAACAAACAACAAACAACA